TGATTGCAGCCAACTGGGTAATGTGCTAAATTGTCAGGAGGGCATTAGTTACCTTTGTGAGCCACAAGAAAGACAACTGAAATGTTTAGCTAATGCAATGAGATCTGAAGTGATGAATCTTGGCTGTGTTATGATCCCAGCAAATGTTATTATTGGACAAATCAGATCCCAGATAGGAGCCCGGCTTGATAGCTCATAATTTAAAATGTTTTGGCTTTACAAAGTGGTCTCTCACTGAATAATAAAAATATAGATTCCACAGTGTGGAAAGAGGTCATTCAGCCAACTGAGTCTGCAGAAACCCTTCGAAGAGCATCCCCTTAGACGCAACCTCCTATCCTTTCCCTATAATCCCGAATTTCCCCAATCCATCCACAACTCTGGATAGTACAGGGCAGTTTGACATGGCCAACCGACCTAAAATACGCAGTTTTGGATTGTGGGGGGGAAACCGGAGTGTCTGGAAAAAAAGACACACAGACACAGGCAGAACGTGGAAACTCCACAAAGACAGTCATCCAAGGCTGGAATCGAACCCAGATGCCTCATATTGTGAGACTACCGTGCTGTACAATGTGAGACAGTGCTTCAGATTCTGAATTCAGCAACAAACCAAGACGAAATAGACTCACACCGTTTATCTACTTACAATGCAAACTCAACGATTACAAGTGACAGCATAAATGTATTCTCATTGTTGGGTTTGGAGGGTGTCGATCTCAGTTGCCCAATGTAGGGGTTGAAGCCAATTCTGATAGCCTTTTGAATTTGTTAAGAATCTCAAGTTTACATATGATATACTAACGATCAGGAAAAAGGAACTGAGGGCAATGCTACAACATTTGCAGATGACAGAAAGAAGAGTACAGTGGCTGGTATGTTGAAGAGGCGTCAGGCTGCAGAAGGGCTTGGACAGGCTAGGAGAATGAACAGATAAGTGGCAGATGGCTTACAATGTGGGAAAGTGTGTTGCACTTTAGAAAGAAGAATAGTGACATAGAATATCTCCTAAATGAGCAAATGTTTCGGAAATCTGAAGCACAAAGGGACTTGAGAATCCTAGTACAGTATTCGCTCAGTGTAAACACGTAGATTCAGTTGGCAGTTAGGAGGGTAGGTGCAATGTTAGCATTCATTTGAAGAGGTTTAGAATACAAGAGCAAAGATGTAGTGCTGAGGCTGTATAAGGCTCTGTCAGAGATAGTAAGAACTACCGATGCCGGAGTCTGAGGTAACACAGTGTGGAGCTGGAGGAACACAGCAGGCAGAAATTTCTGAAGGGTCCCGAACAAAAACGTCAGCTTTCCTGCTTCTCTGATGTTGCCTGGCCTGCTGTCTTCCTCCAGCTCCACACAGTGTTATCTAAGGCTCTGTCAGACTGCATTTGGATATGATGATCAGCTTTGAGCCCCGAATCTCAGGAAGGATGTGTTGATGTTGAAATGGTTAAGTTGACGTTTACAAGAATGATCCTAGGGATAAAGGCTTGTTTTATGAGGAGCAATTGAGGACTCTGGGTCTGTGGTCGATGGACTTTAAAAGGCTGAGGGACCATCTCATTGATACTTACAGAACACTGAAAAGCCTCGATACAATGGGCAGGGAGAAGCCGTTTCCACTCGTGGGCGAAACTAAAACATAAGGGTATGGCCTCTGGGTGAAGGGACAACACTTGAGAACTGAGATGAGGAGGGCGATCTTCAGCCCTACCTCTTAGGTTTGTGATCAGGACGGGGATGAAAGGTTATGGGGAGAAGGCAGAAGAATGATCAACCATGATCAAATTGTGTAGCAGACTCAGTGAGTCGCATGGTCGAATTCTACTGTTGTATATTATGATCTTATGGATACGTTCGTTAATTAGACAAAAAAAAGGAAATATATAAGCCGTGACACATGAGGATTCTCGAAAGACCCAAAAGCTGTTTTGTACAGTTGAGAAACAGAGGTGGCAGCTTGAATTGAGTTTTTTTTGTCTTTCCTGCAAACGTTCGTCTTTAGAGACCTACAGCAAAGAAAATGGGCCCTTCGGTGCATTGACTCTGCTCCAGTCAAAAACAACCACCTAACTATTCTAATACCTTTTTCAGTGCTTCGCCCATAGCTTTGTAGCTCTGTGTTATTAACAAGTCTGTGTTATTTTCTCGGACTGATGTCAAAAAACTCCAGGTCTTCATCCAAGAAGATAACAGCTCATTCGACTAGACCCTCTCTCTTCTACTCCCCACCTGCCCCGTAAAAATCCCTATTTTCCAGGCTGGCAGTCGATGCTGTGTCAACCATCTATCTGAAGCGTCTCAGCCAGTGACCATGATGATGCCAGGACAACCATTGTCACTGTGCCCACCTTCTTCTGAGGTTTATACAGCATTGTTTCTGAGATTAAAAAAGCCTCATATTTTCCACCAAAACACACTAGCTCTAAATAAATTGTTGACGCCAGTTCAACGGGGCGCCATTACATTTGATGCTCTTGTGATTGTCCCATTTAATGCTTATGTGAGAGAGATTTGGAATGTCGAATTTTGCTGTAATAGCAGTTCAATGAAATTCAACGCTGTACAGTAAAAATGAGGAAGGATTAGCTTTAAAGGAATTTCCAACATCATTAATTTCGAAATTCTCCTGTACAAATTATAGGGAAACAAACACAGCATTTGTATAGTGCCCACTGCTCTCTGGTGCCGTTCTCTAAACTCTACTCCTTGTGAAGCATACAAAACTTGAGTCATGAAGTACACTCGCCAGTTGGTGTACCACTGTACTTCAAACCCTTGCTAGGTTTACGCTACTTGAGGCGCCAATTTTCGAACTGAAGACTGTAATAGTGTCTTCTTAAAGATGTCATGTACTTCAACTCATTGCACCTAGCTTAAATAAGCCGATTTCCAGGTTTTTAATCTGCTTTGCAACCAATACTTATTCGTCTGACCCTTAGGGTCAAAGATCACTTAATTTATTTCCAAGGGGGCTTGGGTCTATTACGTCACTCTAAGGATCTCACTCAACACATCCTTCTCTGCTCAGGAGAAGTGCTCAATACTTTCAACCTGTTTCAAAGTCTTCACAGAACTGAAATGAAAACTACCCAAATTTAACTGTAAAATAAATAAAGGTTTCTTTGAATCAGCAAAAGGTCCCTCATCCAATCTGAAAGCCAAGTAGCTTGCATAACTTTCTGACAAACCTTTGAGTCCTGAACTGGGTTGTAAACAATTCCAAGTAAGCAGAGGGAGAGGAGCGGGGCTACGGGAAGGGCAGGTGAGATGGAGATAGGTGGATGCAGGTAGGGCGTTATTGTGATTGGTCATTGGGAAGGGTGAATCGGTCTCCTCTATAGTGGGGAGGCCATTTGCAGACTCGGGGTTTATGGAGAATCTGTGGTCTGCACGCACCAACTAACCCGACATTTCAGTTGCCATCCACTATAACTCCCCTTCTCATTCCACTAGAGACATGTCTATCCTTAGCTTCATCCACTGTCAGAGTGAGGCCAAACGTAAACTGGAGCAACAACTTGGGAGCTTACGGCCCAATGGCCTGAATATTGACTCCACCAGCTTCAAAATCTCTTCCCCAACCTGTCCATCATCCGTCTCACCTATTCGCTCCACTCTTCCCACTGATCAACCACAATATCCTCCTACCTGCAGCCACCTATCTTCGTCTCACCTATCCGCCCCATCCCCTTCCCTTTATATATTTCTGGGCTCCCCTCCCCTTCCCCAGTCCTGACGAAGGGCTTCAGAATGAAACGGTAACCTTCCTGCTCCTTCGATGCTGTCTGACTGTACAGAAATACTTATGCTTTAATTATTTACTTTAGATGCACAGACAGATCCCCAGCAGCTACTAACCCAATCCCTGAAATCCAAGATGCAGCAACTGCCATTAAAGTATATGCACAGCAAACTTTTTATTACCTAACACGTCTGGGATGAGGAGTTTAGTGGTTGACCAAAATTCTTCCAGATCGAATACTCCTGTTGAGCCAAAGTACGTATAATCAATGTAAAAACTCGCTAAGTAATACAAACGTAATGAGGTATACACATCACTATTATACTTTTTAACAGCATAAATCGCTTAAATAATAATGCAACTTTGCCTTTAATAAAATGTATGGGCAGAGAGCCTTCTCACTTGCACCGTGTGGGATAGATCACGATAATACGATAAACTTCACGGTATTTGAGGTATATAATTTTTGCCAGTTTATTGAGAGCACTGGTTTATAAGGTGCCGTTTAAAACAAAGTTTTCTGTTCATATGACTCCACAGTTAACATCAGAGTGGGAAAAATTAGCGTTGGAATTAATTTTTGAAAAAAAAGATTGGAAATGCGAGGGACGTGCTTGTCTTGCGAGATAGCAAGAGACGTCAGTGCGTTGACTAAAATGCATCTTTTTTAAATGGAAGTAAAGAGTAAATAAATCAAATGAGTTGTGCTAACTCTTTTAAAATCAGATTGAACCCAATCTGGATGATTCTGTGGCAATTTGGGTTTGTATATTAGGATGCCAGCCAAAGAATTTGCAGGGTTTACCAGAATGGTAGATCTCAGTTGCTCTTGACAGAGAAAGCGCATGAAATCAATTAAAAACAATATTCTACAAAACATGAAGTGTTTAGACAAAACAAATAGAGAAAAAAAAGGAAATGATTCATTGGCAGTATTATCTGCAACCAAAGGCAATCATAAAAAACAATTCACAAAGCAGTCAAAGGTGATATCCTGATAAATATCCGTATCCACTGAGATATTTTGGTATAGATCATGCGGCCTAGAAAGATTGTGGAAGCTGAAGTAAATAGTTACTTCCAAAACGAAATTTGGAGAAAAAAGAAAATCAGGGAGATTGCAGCTAAGGGGGTGACTTTTTTCAACTAATAATCACGGGAATGATAGGATCACCTTTCCTTGTGAGACTGTAATATTGTTCCACCGTACTATTTCACACCCTGGGTGTTTCACGTTTTCCTATTTATATTGTTTCAAGATTGGCGAAAATCTCTTGCTGTGACGACAGTTTACTTCCATTGTGAAGCATAGCTGGACTGGACAGTGAAGGAAGAAACAAGGTCTGGAAAATTTCTCCCAGAAACTGACTAAAGATGACAAGAATGCAGCTGATGACTTACGTTCTACTTCTCACTTTGCATTTGGGCAGTAAGTATTTTCTGTCTGTATTAGTGTCAGAAAGAAAGTTCTTAGTTAATGTAACCACTCTTCCAAAGGTAACATGCATTATTTAGTTGTTGAAGAATTCTGGAATTGAGGGATGAAGGTAAAGTCACCATTGTCGGCTCTTCACTCATGAGAGAAAGTTGACTGGAGATGATTTAACCCAAGGATCACCATGCCTTAGGCAACCTGAGTGGTTGAGAGGGAGAGCCCTTCAAGGTAATCTCATCCAGAGCAGGAATTGAACCCAAACTATTAGCACTGCTCAAGATGGCACGGTGGCTCTATGGTTCACACTGCTGCCACATAGTGCCAGAAACCTGAGTTCAATTCCAACTTTGGGGGACTGTTTGTATAGCATTTGAACATTCTCCACCTGGCTGCATGTGTTCCTGCTGAGCGCTCTGGTTTCCTTCTACAGACCAAAGATATGAAGGTTAGGTGAATTTGTCGTGCTACATTGTCCTCTAATATCCAGGGACATGATAGGCAAGGTGGGGTTTTAGGGGTAAGTCTGGGTGAGATGGTCTTGAGAAGGTCGATACCGATCCAATGAGTTGAATGGCTTCTTTATGCACTGTAGAATTCTATGATTCTCGACATTGCAAACCAGCCATGACGCCCGATCAGCTATCTGACCTTCATACGATAGTTTTCACTTCTCTGTGCAGCAAAGATATAGACATTAGAGGATGCCATTCAATTCCTTGGTCTTGTTAGAGTGGGAACAAATAGCTTCCATTCAACCTGACACTTAACGGCAGCTTGAGGCTATCCAACCTAGTTAGGAGACATTTATTACATTGAACCTGCTTCACTGATAATAGGAATTTTGCAAACAGTTCCTTGAGTTTTTTTTTTAGCATTCATTTTGCATTAACACCGACCCCTACCTCTCCACTGCAGATCATCTGGAATGCATTCCAATGATCAGTCGAATATTTCACGGGCAAGTTCTTCCCTCAATTCATCCTGGCAGTCAGGCAAACAGTCACACAGCCCTTCATTAATTCTTTCATCTCTGCACTAGCTCAGTGTGAACCATGAGCCTGGACACCCAGATCTCGTCACTCCTTTATACATACAAGAACTCATAGAGTCATAAAGACCGAAGCACAGAAAAAAACAACACGATTCGATTCATCGCATCCACACCAGCCAAAAACAACCATGTAACAATTCTAATCACATTTCTCCGCAGTATTTTATGCCTTGGCACCGCGAGTGCACATCCAAATACTCCTTCATTGCTATGAGGCTACCACCTTTACAAGCAATGATTTCCAGATTCCCACTATCCTCGCGGTGAAAAAAAAACGTTTTTCCTCACATCCCCTCTAAACCTGCTGCCCCTTACCTTCAATCTTTGCCCCGTCATTGAACTCTCCATCAAGGGGAAAACGCTTTTCGTGTTCCCTCTGTCAAAGCAGCTCATAATTTTGCATGGTTTAATCATGCCCCCTCTCAGACTCCTCTGCTCTATTTATATGAATAGTTTGAAGGTAGATATATGAGGTATGATTATTGACTTTCAGATGACACCAAAAATAGTGTTGTAGTGAGCAGCGAAGAAAATTATCTCAGACTACAATGGGATCCTGATCAGATGGCCCATTCAGTCAAGGACTGGTAGATAGAATTTAATTTAGATAAATGTGAGGTGTTGCAGTTTGGTAAGGCAAACCAGGCCAGAATGGTAAGGCCCTGGGGAGTATTGCCAAATAAAGAGATCTAGGGGTGCAGGTATATAGTTCCTTGAAAGTGAAGTCACATGTAGATAGGATGGTGAAGAAGACGTTTGGCATGCTTGGTTTCATTGGTCAGTGCATTGAGAATAGGCGTTGAGATGTCATGTTGCGGAAGTTCAAGAGATTGTCCAGGCTACTTTAAGAATACTGCGTACAATTCTGGTCATGCTTCTACAGAAAAGATGTAGCTAAGCTTAAGATGATGCAGAAATGATGTACAAACATGTTGCCAGCGTTGGAGGGCTTGAGTTATAGGGAGAGGCTGGTAGGCAGGCACTTTTTCCTTGTAGCATTGGTAGCTGAGGGGTGGCCTTACAGAGATTGATAAAATCATGAGGGGCATGGAAAGGGTGAATAGTCAAGGTCTTTTTCCTTGGACGAGAAGTCCAAAACTAGAGGGCATAGGTTTCAAGTGAGATAGGAAAGATTTAAAAGGGACCTAGGGGCAACTTTTTCCACGCAGAGGGTGGTGCATGTATGGAATGAGCTGCCAGAGGAACTGATGGAGGCCGGTATAATTATAACATTTTAAAGGCATGTGGACGTGTATATTAATAAGAAAGGTTTAGATGGCTATGGGCCAACTGCTGGAAGATTGGGATGTCTGATCAGTGCAGACATATTAGGACGAAGACTCTGTTTCCGTGCTGCATAACTCTACGACTCCACGTCTGTATAACCCCAGTCTGTCCAATCTCTCTTCATGATTGAAATTCTCCCGGCTAGGCAGCATCGTGATATATCTCCTCTGCACCATATGCAGTTCTTTCACATTCCTCCTGTGATGTCGCTTCCAGAACTGCACACTATACTCTAGCTGCCATGATCAAACCAACCAAGAACTGCGGGCATTAAGATTATTTTGAAAGATTACTCTGATTAAACCTGAATTAATTTAGCATAACATAGGTTAATTTTAACCATGAAAAGATTTCTTTGTGCTTACTTTGTCTTTTTTAACTTCCTGTTTCACATTATGCTATCAGCTCTTTTTCTGAGCTTGGTGAAAACAGCTTTGTGTTACTTAATTTTCATTTTAAAAACATAAAATACATAAATAAGATTTGCTTGATCCAGGTTTTTGTGAATATTGATAGGCAGATGCCAATAGGAGTGCATTTCCTTTATCGGCACAATAATTTAAACAAAGAGTTTCGGATGCTAAAAATCTGAAAGAAAAATCAGAAATTGCTGTCAAAAATCAGCAGGTTTGGCAGCAGGTATGTGGGGAGAAAGCAGAGTGAACATTGCAGATCCAATTACCCTTCTTCATTATCTGTACTCCTGATCTCTGACTTACCAGACAACAACCTTCAATGATGACTAGAGCATTATAAGACACAGCATATCAAGATTCCATTGTTTATCTAGGAATTGTTAATAAAGTACACTTATTACATTATTACACTTTTCTTCTTAGTCCCATGATCTTCTTTCCATGAAATACTTACGGCATTCACTTTTTGGAAAGTCACTGCTGTACGGATTTCTCCAAAACTTTGGTACAGGTATTCAGTTGCAACAATAGTGACAGAGCAGTGAAAGTTGAGAAAACATGATGCATTAGAAAACATTGGAAGTCCTGACATGCACAAAAGCACTGTTTTGAAGTCACTGGACTTGAAACCGTAACTATATTTCACTGTCTACAGATGCTGCGTTTCTCCAGTACTATCTGGTTTTGCTTCAAATACGCTGTTATTGTCCTTGAAATGTAAAATGAGCTCAGTTTCGGGCGATTTGAGCTCACGATGCGCTGGTTACCTGGAGAGGCATCCTAGAATTGTTACAAAGTTGTTTCTATACTGACTCAGTAACTAGCAGCTGATCTCGCCCCCGCCATCCCCAATCCTAACCAAACCTGAACAGGCAGTGCACCACCCAGATCTGATCACCCTGTCCCCCGCGCTTCTAAATCTATCTCCAGGCATTCTCCCATAAAATACCCCAACTCACCCGGGACTCTAATCTGCCCTCCAATATTTACCCAGCCAGTCACTGCACTCTTTTTTTAAAAGTAGAGACCTTACAGTGCAGAAGCAGGCCTTTTGGCTCTACAAGTGCACACCGACCCTCCAAAAAGCAAACCACCCTATCCCTAGAACACTATCGCCTATGTCCAATCCAGCTAGCCTGCCTATCCTTGGACTTTATGGGCAATTTATCATGGCCAATTCACCTAATTTGCACAAAAAAATGGTCTGTGTTAGGAAACTGGAACACTCAGAGGAAACCCACACAGACACAGCCAGAACAAGGAAACTTCACACAGACAGTCACCCAAAACTGGAATCAAACCCAGACCCGTGGCGCTCTGAGGCAGCAGTGCTAATGACTGAGCCAGCATGGCTGACTCACTGGCGCTTACACTCACTCACTGGCATCATCACCAGCAGTCGCTCGTAGATGAGGATGAATCCCTTCCACTCTGAGGGTACATTCATAGGTGGCTGTACAGACCAATGAGGCTACCGCGGGCTCTGTTACACTTGGAGCAGGTGGTAGTCATGGAACGGGGTGGGTGGGGCAGTGATATGGCTGCGCGCTCCATATCTTGTTTTTGCTTGGCTTCTGTTTTTTCCTGATGGCAAGTCTCGAAGTGCTCCTCCTCCACTTGAGATGGTATTGGGCCAGTGATTCCCAAGAGTCTGTGGGAAATCTGCACTTTGCCGCTGAGGCCTTGAGAATGTCATCGAAATGTTTCATTTGCTCACCTGGGATCCAGCTGCCATTCCGAAGTTGGTAGTTAAGCACCTGTTTATTGACTCTTGTGTTGGTCGTGCAGACGCCGTGCCCAGCTCATCGTAGCCAATCAATGTTGGTCAGTGTCTCGATGCTGGGGATGTTGGCCTGGTCGAGGTTGCTGGTGTTAGTGCATCTATCTTCCCAGCGGATTTGTAGGATCTTGCTCAGGCAGCAGTGTAGTACTGTTCCAGCGCCTTGACTTGTCTGTTGTAGGTAGTCCACGTCTCAGCCGTATAAGAGTGTGGGAACCACCACAGCTCTGTAAACCATGGTCTTGGTGTAGGAACACCCTCAAAAACCTTTTTCCTTGGACCACCAAAGGCTCTGCTAGTATACCGGAGGTGATGCTGGATTTCTTCATCTCTTCAGGTGCTTTGGCTGACAGGACAATTCCGAGGTGTTGTGAGTTCTCGATGTTCCCTAAGGCCTCCCTGTACACATTGATGACACTCACTCACTGGCATTCACCCAATGGTATTAACACTCACTGGC